CTGTGGCCAGAGCACGGCGGGGACATTGCGCAGACGGAGGGGCCCGGGCTCAAACCCCAGCACGGGCGCAGCGTGCTCCAGCCACAGACGCTAGCTGCCACACGGGCTCAGGGGTTGAGCCAAGCACAGAAGCACACACGCTTTCCTGGCTCTGCATTTCACAAGATGGAAGGGGAGGGGGATAAAATTATGAAAATGCAACTGCATAAATTCCTGGGTCTGAGCGGGAGTGAGGAGCCGGTGTGGAAAGGCCCCCGGGGCAGGCGGTCGCCCTGCACCCCAGCTGTCGGCACGAATACTTGGCATTGCAAGAGCAACTGCTGGCATCCCCCTCCACGGCAGGCACCGGGAACCGCAGGGAGCCCACCGCCAGCGGGAAAGGGGAGGCAGAGAAGGGGCTCAGGCTCCCTCGCCCCTTCTATGGGTGACCTTTGGGGGAAGGTGGTGGATGGAAAACCACTGAGGCCAGGGAATAGCTGGCACCCGACAGCAGCAGGCGCCAAGCCCAGCATCTCGCAGCATCCCTCCACAATTCAGGCAGGTGCTGAGGCCCAGAGCTGGTCCTGCAGATGAAAGGGTCGCTCCCCATGCGGCCGGCCCCCTCCGGACCACGGTATTTTCACGTTCCCCGAAATCCCCATTAATTTATCCTGCCTAAGCTGCCAGCCCAAGCAATGCAGGAGATTACATTTTGACAGCTGCTCATGGAAAATTCAGCTCCCTCCCTCCTCCTCAAGCCCTTTCCCCCTCTCCCCCACATGCCTAAAAAAAAAAAAGAGAGAGGAAGGGCCCAGCTATTCCTCCTCACCTGGGCCTCCCACACCCACGGGGAGGCTCAGGGGATGCTCCGGGGAAAGGCCATAGACCCTTCCTCCCTCCCAAGGCAGCTGGCGACGCTCCTGCCTGTGGCATGTTAAACCTGAAGCTGGCACCACCTCCACAAGCAGAGATGTGCAGGCAGGCACCAGCTCTTGCCAGGAGCAAGCGAGGAAGAGGAAGGTGCTGCGGGAAGCGGGCTGGCCCGGAAAGGCAGGTTCAGATCCAGACCTGGACTCTTGTATCCTGCAGGAGACTTTGAGAAAGCCAAAGGCTTTCCAGGGCTACGAAGACACACGGTGCCAGGTGATCTCATCTCTCCGATGGCTTGGTCTAGAAACGGGGAGCAAGCAGCGCTGGTGCTCTCCTGGGACTACTGCCCTCTGAGTATTTTTAGGAAGGTTACATGGTTAATTTTAGACAGCCGGGCAAAGCAGAGCTGGGAACCTCAGAAAATCTCCGCCAGGTCCTACGCAAGCTGAAAAAGCCGTTACGGTGCCAAAAGCACCACCACACAGGCTGCCGGGGCTTCAGTGGTGGCAGGAGGGTCAAGACACATTTCCAACCCAACTGTAAACATCTCAAACACAGCTGCTCCTGAAGCTGGGATAGGAAATTCCCATCACTTGTGTCTACAAGCGATGTCCACAGCAACCTGCACGGCTTGCACCGAGCACTACAGCGGGGTCAACCACATCCTGCGAGTGGAAGTGGCTGGTCCGGGGCGGGGGCCACGGGAGCTGCAACCCCATCCCTGACCGCAGGGAAAGGCACA